TAAAAATTACTAAACAACTTTACAAATTCTTTTAACATTTCATTAGCGACATTAGATTCTACTTGACAAGACTTCTCACAAGAGAGAAGGCGAATACCGACATGCAACAAAAGAAAATGGTAATACAAGTTATCCGGTATGCAGTCTTTCAAAACAAACAAGCCCGAGTACAATAAAAATTGCCGGTATTCTGTCAACTTCCAGTTGCTTATTTCATTTAGATCTCGACTGAGTCTGGAAAATTCAGAGGGAACGAACTTATTCAGAAACAATATTTTTTCATTCATCTTTGTTACGTTCCCTCTTTTAATAAGCAACTGGAGTAGTTTTTTAGTTACTCCTAAGTCAACTAAATGCATGGGTTCTAACGGAAATTGAGAAACCATGCCAATATTTACAGATTCTAGCAAGATTTCACACTGTCTAAATTCGTCTAAATGATGTGTTATATCTACTCTATTTTTAAACGAACTATCTGTTCTTAATTCTCCAACGTTTTGAGAAAAACAGACCCTTCTTTGTAAATACTGTTCTTGTTGAAGACATTTAGGGCAGCTGTTTTTCCCAGTGTGTGACTTCACGCCAGTTATAAAGGCGCGAGCTGGTGTGTCACATGTAAAAAGTCTTACACTAAATTCTTTTAAAACCTGCTTAGATCCCACCCTTACACCATTCTGACTTAGAATTTTTNTTAGAAGTCGATTCATTCAGTTTGCGAAACTTCGCACCTGTTGCTTTATAATAAGATTTTTCCTTACTTATAAGGTTAGAAAGCGTTCTTTTATGCATACCGTAATTTATAATGGTGTAAAGGTACGATCTAATAATAATTCTATTAATAATGATAATAATAGCAATTAAAGTAGTAATAAAAATAATAATATTATAATACTATTATCATAATATTATTATTATATTAGATATTATAATAATAAAATTAATAACAGATAAAATTTATATATATATCTAATCTCCGCTGACTTCTACTGTCTGTATTCCACGACCTGCAAAGAAAATATAAAAATAAAATTTGATAAAAAATAATATATAATAAAAAATATCGCAACAAAACCAAAAAAACACATCATTGAAACGTCTATATATTATGTGAGGTTGCATAAATTATATGTGAGGTTGCATAAATTATATTCCAGAGCGTAAAAACTCTCATATGTCAAAATGGTTTTCTTTTTTGTAAAGCAATCGCATTTCTGGCTAGTATATTTCAGAACGAATGGATAAGGCTTGAGCCAAGAGCTATTGTTAGCTAATCCAATTTTTGGCAAAAAAGGTAATTTACGCGGCTTTGCAGAGCGACGATACGCGGTTTTGTACTTTAAACGGCGATATGTAGCTCTACATATTGTGCCGTATGTATGCTAATTGTACATACATATGTTGCACATATCGTACCTAGACGAAAAGAAAAACTTATTTCCAAAACGCGTTAAGTCCAAAATAGCACCCCCATGACATGCTAATTGTATGTTGCACATATGTACATATCGTCGCTGGAATAATGAAATAGTGTAACATGAAAAGTATAGTTTTGAGAAAAACGAATTGGAAGTTTTTATAAACCATTACAAACCATACAAATACAATTTGGTTTTTCGGGAATAAATTAGTGAGCCAAAGAGATATTTAAGAAAACTAAACATTTTTTCAAATAGATTAAAGGATTGTCTATCCAATAATGCAATTATCGAATAAAAGTGTATTTGGCATTTACACTGTTTCTTTATTCGAGCGACGATATATATATACATATTTCCACTGCACCTTCCTCTTTTTACCTACATACGTATGTACACATGTACGTCGTTGCAGCTGCGCTTTGTACAAAGGTACTTGCACTTCACTTTCTTTTGTTTAACTGCATACATATCTACACACTTATGCAGTTGAAACTATTTCCACACATATGTATGTATACAATGTAGGTACCTAGCCAGCATTTGGTCGATGCAACTACAACAACTGATGCAAATGCAGCGGATGCAAATATTGTTCCTGACCGAAAATGTCTGTTTTTAAAAACGCATCAATTCTTGAGTGTACAACCGTGAAAAGATAATTTACGCAATTTACATTCAACTCAGTTGGCACAAATTAAGCAAATTTGCTGTTAATTGGAATTAAGAGAAACTGATGTTTTATATTGTTGCGCTAAGGAAAACAGACATTCTACTGCACTTTTCCCATTTATTGCACCACACTTATTGCTGTTTACATATGTACCTAGTTGCACTTTTAACACACATATGTACATACATATTTGCATTGCACTTCCTTCTTTTTACTTACATAAGTACATTTAGGTAGTAATACTTTATTTTTTGTTTATATACATACATGTGACCACATTTATGTAGTTGTAGCCAAAGCTGGCATTCTGTTGCACTTTTCACAGCACTTTCTGTTTACATATGTATATACGTGTCGGCAGTGATACTGCAAACTTTAATTAAATGATCCCTCACGCGTACCTTACAGAAAAAGGAATACATTTTCGTCACGAGTTTAATAGATTATAACTTTTGGCACTCCGGTGAGGGTAACAAATCAGTGCCAGAGGTAATAATTTCTGCAGAGTTTTGCAGTATCACCGACGATATAAACACAAGTAAGTACATACATACATATGGATTTAGTTGCGTCTGGAGCAACCGCGTTTCTTAATATTTAAACCAACGTTGGCATAACTCTATAAGCAAGTTCCCTGCGCTGACAGAATTCCATATGTAAGTGCCCCGCGCTGGGCATGACCGATTTAAACAATAAAACTCACCGAACAATATAGCTGGAATGTTGTAGGGTTGAGAGTTGTTGGCGACCAATGCACTATGGGCTGGCATCAAGGAAAAGCGGCCATAAATCGAAATCAAAACATTTTTTCGTGAAACTTGGTATATAAATGTTTTTGGGGTCGCTGATTTTGAATCTGGACTCAGAATTTAAAAATTCAATATGGCGGATCCAATATGGCGACCGAAATTTTAAAAAATCAATTTTTTTATACAAATATTTGCATACAGGGGTTTTCGAGGTCGCTGATTTCGAATCTGGACTCAGAATTTAAAAATTCAATATGGCGGATCCAATATGGCGGCCGAAATTTAAAAAAATCAATTTTTTATACAAATATTTGCATAAAGGGGTTTTCGAGGTCGCTGATTTCGAATCTGGACTCAGAATTTGAAAAATCTTTATACCAAGCGCCTAAGTTGAAAATTCCAGCACTTTCATAAGCCTGTTATTAGCCTGCAAAGTTTGGTGAACATTTGCAGTTTCCAGAGCCTACCACGAGGAGGTTACAGGTTTAGAAGACTCCACTTTTATTTTTTTTTATTTTTTTTTTATTTTTTAAATTTTTTTTTACGGTTTTTTGGTTTTTTTTCATTAAAACGATTTTTTTTTAAGATTTTTTTATTTTATATTTTTCTTTCTATGAAAATTAAAGATATTTTAGGAAAATAACATTGATTTCAACTGAAAATATTTTTTTTTGCTTTTTTAAGATTTTTTTTTTTAATTTTTTTATATTTTTATATTTTTTTTATGATTTACTTTTTTTTATCTCTTTTGAGGAGTGGCCGTTACTCTTCACTTTGCGGAACCTCTGGTAATGCGAGTAATGCAATTACTGCAGATGGAAGAGGCAATTTTTTTCGTTTTTGTAGTCGTGAACTCAAGCTATGAGACGCTATTAGTGGATCTGAGGAATCCATAGAACGGCAAGAACATATCTTGCATTGTAGCTTCTCGACTACATTTCCGACTGTGCCGCTCACGGTAACACTTATAATTTTTATTGCGGGCTTCAGAAGCTTCTTCTGCAAACATTCCTACAGGTAAAATACTATTTTCTATAATCGCAGAGCCGTGAATTAATATTTTATGAACCGTCGCAGGCATAAAATACCAATTGTAGTTCGCAACATAAATATCTTGCAGTCTGATGGCACAGTATATTGAATTTATTAGGATCTATCGGCAGGTGGCAGGATAAAGCCATTAATATTATTGAAAAGTTGGTTACTAATTCTGTATTCAACTCTAAACAATTTGCAAAGACTTCTGAATTTTGAAAAGCCCGACGAGCTGAATTGCCATCATTACTGTTTCCGCAACCTCTATCCTTGGGCATGTCCACTTTCAATCCCAATTTCTTCCACAAAATATCTTGTATTTCTGCTTTTCTGCGCGAATATTCTTTTTTATCAACTTCGTTTGAGACTCTCCACTTTCTTATATTTTTCCTGTATGAAATATTTAAACAGCATTCCAAAATTTTAATCCAAGCGTGCAATGGACTTATGCCATGCTGCAGGGAGCCAGTAATTGGTAAGAAAACATCTGTCGCAATATTGGAAAGATCATTGAATTGTTTTGGTGTCGCGTGGCAAATTGGACATGACTGTGATGATGTTGTGTCAGTAAGTGCATTTAAAACTTTACCATCTATTAGAGTCATATGCAAAGAAAAATGTAAACGTATACGAAAATGTTGTACCTTAATTTGTTTGTTCGTCCATTATTTGCTTTTGTGATTTAATAATTTCAGTAGTTTCTTTTATCCATTTAAGTGAAATTGGGCGACAAAATTTTTCAGATTGAGAAATAGCGTTGTTCCACAAAATGGTCCCATTTGACGTTACTAATCTTAAAGGAATGCATGTACAAGCAAGTAAATTTGTATCAACTTTTTCTACACTTGATTCAGAATAAGGTTGTTTGAATGATGGAAATCCACTGGTTCCATCAAACCCCCAAGAAAAAATAAAAACAGCTTCAATGTCGCAAAAATTAGACTTCTGTGCATATAAAAGTACTACTTCTTGCTGCAACTGGCAATTCTTCTGGCAGTATGTTTAAAAGCGCTTGAAGATCGCACTTAGCTTCATTCTCATTTATTTGAATGAATTCTTTTAGAGGTCTACATTGCTCTTTAGCTTCCTTTAATCGATCGTAAGGAGGCCAAACATCAGCTCCGCTTAATTTTGTTGCTAACCTTATATTTGTATAAACTGATTTTGAAAGCCCATTATCGATCAAAAAAGCCAGAGCTTCTTCAGGAGATTTCACAATAAGTGAAAGCGTGGCTTTACTGGATTGCTTTATTTTCTTATTCTTAATTCTGGAATGAGAAACTGTGAATTAATCCATTCGACATTTTTCTCTGTAAATGATTTATTATTTTTTTTGGTTTTTTTGTATTTAACCTTTCTTTTAGAAATAAGAGACGCAACCATCTTAACTAAACGCTTAAGATCCTCAGAATGTACCTTATTTTCATCAATTAGTAATTTATTTAAAATATATTGTACACCGCTTCCATTTTCAGCATCATTGGCATCTAAAATTTCCTTCTTCGTGAATGTCGCCATTATAATGAAACAGCTTTGATTAAATTGCATTTAACAATGAGCCGACCAACTAAGTTTCGAATTTTCTGAAATTTATTTTTGATTTAATGCCTACTATGTTGTTAGAAGCAAAATTCTAGACATTTAAAAAAACCTTCCCCCAATCAGAATTACGTTCTCCCAACGATTTTTTTAATTTATCATGGCTACTTTGTTACTTTTGTAATGTAAACAAAAAAAACATTTCTATTGGCTGTGTAACGATTTTTTAAAAATATTTTTAATATATCAAAAATGACTCAAATCTGTCAATTCAGTAAAACGTTATGGGCATTTGAACATAGACACAGTACAAAAGCTGTTCAGAGCGCACATACGTTTTTACCGTTATCTCTGAAAATACTAAAAAGCGCACATTTGCGCATTAATAGGTAATAATAGATACTTCAAAGAATATTTTCATATTGAAATTTTGTTAATATCATGGAGTGCCAAAAGTTGCCAGCATTCGACGGCTAAAACTTTTTGGTAAAAAACAACATTTTAAGAATAAAATTAATTTTTTTTCGTCAAGTTCCTTTATTTCAAAGCTTTTTCAGTATAATCTGTGTTGGAATATTCTAACTGAATACAAAAACGTAAAATTTACCAAAAATATTTTGAGCGATATTCGAATTTCGCACTGTTTTTAACTATGTGACCAAGTGCAAAAAAAGCCGAAGTATGAATGGTTATTGCCCTTTAATGGCAAAACTACTAAACGAAATTCTCTGAAATTTTGCTCATAGCTGCTCTAAAGTGTATAGATATCAAAAATATACTCCATTGGTCCCAGTTCCAAAACCGACTTTTGGCCACCTTTTCTTGATGCCAGCCCATAGTGCAATGGCGTTGAATGTGCTGTGGGCGTCGTTGCTGATGTTTGGCAATCTAAAAGAAATAATTACATTATAATCAAATGAAACTGTTAACAATGGTTAAAGGCAGACTTCCAAGTTGGTATATTGCAAAGCATCAGCCTCGTTTATTTCTAAACTATAACTGATGGAAATGACCAATTTGCCCAACTAAGTTCCAATTCGGCGTTTGAACATGGTTGCGCTTATTGCACTTTTCCATTAGTTATATTTAGTTTAGAAATAAAAGAGGCTAATGCTTTGCAATATACCAACCTGGAACTCAGCCAAACTATGTTAAATTGGGAAACTTTAGTCTTCTTACCTTCAAGGTATTGATGGCTTAAGTCTCCTGCTAATGTTTGGCTATCTATGGATATATAAAATATACATATATGTATTTAATAAAAGAAAAATTACATTTAATCAAATTAAATTGCTTCTTACCTCCAAAATTTTGCGCGAAATTGATGTTTTTCTTCGCAGCCTACTAGAATCAAATTTAAAATTCGCTGTCAAATTTCGCCTGATTTTCACTTGCTCGCTCTAACGCATATAATTCTTATTAAGAGTGCGAATTCTTATAGCTACGCTGCTCTTACTTATGGAAACTTTTTTCGACAACTTTTGAGTGTGTGGGTCAGATGACAAAAAAGTTGGGTATGTGTTGGTAAATCATTTGAATTTCAGGGGAAAGTGGTGAGCCGTGGCTGGCAGGGAACAAAGTCGCGATTCCGATTCTTCACGGAACTGAAAGCGACAACTGCATAATTCCACCCAGATGCGAAGTTTCAGACTTTTCAATTTTGGAAGTTTCCACGGAGCCTCTGTTTGTAGAATCACAAGAGATTGATAACGGTGTATTCACAGCACGATGCATAGTTAGTACAAGCAACCCAATCGTCAAAGTCATAAATACCACAAATGACATAAAATACGTAAAGAACTGTAACATTCGGACTGAAAAACTCTCTAATTTCAATGTATATTCCGTTAACAAGACGATAAACGATGACAACCGGACAAAAGAACTGATTAACGTTTTGAAAAAACAAATTCCTAAGTACGCTAAAAGCAAACTACTTGACTTGTGCATAGATTACGCAGACATATTTGCACTTCCCGACGACAAAATGACGTTAAATAACTTTTAAGAACAAAAACTAAGATTGACAGACAATAACCCAGTTTACATTAAAAATTACCGATTACCATATTCCCAGCGTGAAGAAATAAATCGCCAAGTTAACAAGTTATTAGAAAGTGAATTCATCGAAGAAAGCTATTCGAATTATAATAGTCCTCTAATTGTTCTTCCAAAAAAGATATTAATGGCAAAAAAGCGTACCGAATGTGTGTAGACTTCCGCGTTGTTAACATGAAATTGATTGCCGATAAGTTCCCTCTTGCGCGAGTAGACGAAATTTTAGACAACCTTGGTCGAGCAAAGTATTTTTCAACCTTAGACCTAGAGGGTTTAGAGGGTTTCATCAAATCCCTTTACATATTGATTCACGTGACGTAACATCTTTCAGTACGGATCGAGGGGCATTTAGATGGAAAGTATTACCATTTGGGTTAAATGTAGCACCAAACTCATTTTCGCGCATGATGACAATTGCTTTTTCCGGTATTCCGCCCAATGTGGCATTTCTTTACGTTGACGAT